GGCGGAGTGAGTGCGGTGGTGGGCGGGCCACGGGCGGCGGGAGGGGTCGGCCGCCTTCCCCCGGCCTAGCTGGTACGAAAGCGCCGCCGCCGGGGCAGGGCCTCGTTGCCGTGTGCCCGACGGGGGCGCCTTTCTCTTCAGCGGGGGCTTGCTAGGAGGGGCAGTGCGGCCCCTCTGCTCAGCTCGGCGCCTAGGGCTGAGGGCTGTAGCACCCTGCCCGCGGGAGGGGAAGGCCGGCTCCGAAGCGGCCCGGCGCGGTGGGGGGGCTGCAAGAGCTGGGAAATGCGGTGACTGCGGGTGCCGTCGGTCCGATACAGCGGTGCTGTTGCACTCGACAGGCAGAGTGGGCTTGTTCATGCTGTATCAGGCTTTCATCTGCGTCCTAGGCTGCAGTGCAGAATATTTGGTGCCTGCAGTGCATGAAGGAACTAACTCAGCAATAAGCAGCTCCATGAATCTAAAGTTTCAGTATTTGCCTGTCATCAGAGACCACTTTTAAGAAACAACCTTGACATGTTGGTCACTAGTGCAAATACAGTATGATCTGGTGGTTGTTTCATGTGTGCATGTCTTTAGTAGGCTAAGTCTTTATCATGCTGCTCCCATCCCCTGTAATCACATCTTATATTATCCTGACAGGTCTGCAAATGCCACCCATGAAGTCATCAATGTCACCCTCCACACTACGCTGGCTGCTACTACCAGACTGGTGGTACCTACGCCTGCTAAACCTATCCTTCCAGTTCAGACTGGAGTCCAAGCACAGCAAGAGGAGCAATCTAGTGGCATGACGATTTTTTTTAGTCTTCTTGTTTTAGGTGAATGATGAACTGAAAGTCTTTTCATCTCTGTTAATCATACTTTCTATCTGAGCACATGGGCCAACTTTCAAAAACAAAAAGTAGCATTTTATTTCTCCTCTGTTTTTTTCTCTATGAAGTGGAATATTGTACAGTCACAGGGATTTAGAAAGTTGGATATATAACTGCGTGAACCTCCCAAATCTGTGGAAACTGGAGGACCATTGTAAACCTTTTCACCATCATCTCAAAGTGCAAACAGCACGTTTAACTGTCTGAACCTTTATCAAGCACATGGCATGTGTTCGTATATGAAAAAGTTACTGTCAGATTGCTCCATGGTGCTTGCAGCTGTCTTTGAGGACTGTACTAGATAGGTGTCAGTTTAACTACTTGTAGCATGTCTGGACAGCCCTCAGATACTTTGCTGTATAAGCCAATGGAAGGCAGTCAGATTTACATGCACAAGTACTAAAGTTCAATATTTTTCTGGCTCTCCTCGCATTCTTACAAGAGTGCGAGAATAACATTCAGATTGCTATAATTACATTAACGCTGTATGTATATAGGCATTTTGAATGGTAGATGCACTCCCAACTTTTTTTTTTAAGTCTGGGCTGTTACCTTGCTTTAATAGAATATATTTATTCCTCACCATCTGCTTAGAGCAACACTGTAGTCAAAACTGTAACAAAACTTTCATGGTGGGTTAAGGGTTTTTCTGTTCTCCTTTGTGTTCTTGGTTCCTCCAAAGCAAGCTACACTGAGAGACTTCTGTGACAGACAAGTCACCTAGTTCTTCTGGGTGGTTATTCTTTCCAGTAGCAAATGGAGAAAATAGGTATGGAGTTGACAGCAATGCAGAAGCTTCTGCAAATCATTTGGGTTTAAAAAAAAATATAATCTTGACTCTTAGAAATAACTAAGTGCAGCAAAAAGTAGAAGGCTTCTGCTTATTTCTAAAGTATCTATTTGTCTTCAAAGAGGGTTAATGTTTTCCCAGAGGTCAATGGCATATTAGAATTTGAAGAGAAACAAAAGACCAAGATGCAGTAGATAAGAAGACTTCTAAGAACAAAATTTCTGAATATGTCTGTCTCATGGATTTTAGAAGGGCCATTCATGGTAAAATTGCATTCCTAGGGCTTCAGAACAGCTATGATTTTTTTTTTTTTGCTGTGTTCCAGCCTGTTTATGCCAGTCTGATAACTTAATGGATCTTAAAAACATCACCCTCAGGGCAGGGGAGGTCCCTGAACAAAGTAAAGCCAGTATAAAAGCTTATTGTTCATGGTTATTCCCATTCGTAATCTTTGATTTAGGAGTGTAGGAAGGGTGAAAAAATGCCTATACCATACTCTTAAATCCAGATGTTGTGAGCTGTAAAATGATCTTTAAAATGTTCTAAACTGGAATAGACCCAGAAGCAGGTCACTCCTGAGCTGTGCTGTGTGAAAGCCAAGCCCCAGATCTGAAGTGCCTGAAATAGCATGAGTTAGTGTCAGACCCCAGATTTCTATGACTTGTTTATCTGTTCAAACACCACTTCACCTTCAAAGTGATATAACTACAGTGCAAAATTGAGTTTTTTAAAACAATGAATATTGCATCAGATTTAAATTCTTTTTTTTTTAACTTCAAATCAAATATCTTTTGTGTTTTTCTACATTGGTCCTTTTCCCCTTACTGGTTTAAGTTTTAGCAGTGCTCAGCAGCAAATGTCTCTTGCTGATCTTGATAAGAATTTGACTGATGCTTGTTATGAGAATAAGGATATTTGAACGGTTACCCATTCTGCAACCTCATAGCCCACTGAGTAAGAGTTACTGAGGCTATGGAGCCAGACTCTTTTGAGGTGCACAAAAGAACAAGAAGCACCAGTCACTGCTTGCAATAAGGGAGATGTGGATTGGAGAGAAGAAAATTCTTCACCATGAGACTTAAGCACTGGAACTGGGGTTGAGAGGGGTTGTGACTTCTTTATCATAAGATATTTTCAAACTTGACTAGACAAGGCCCTGGACAACCTTTGACTTTGAAGTTAGCACTGCTTTGAGCAGGAAGTTGGACTGAATGACCTTGAGAGATCCCTTCCAATGTAATTTTTTTCTGATTCTGTGATTATCCATTTGGGTGAAGCTCATCTGCTCACAGGGACCCAGATGTGAAAGTGTAGCTTTGAATTTTTAATTGAGGTCATGTGTACATGTATGTTCTATTTCAAAAATACAAAATATTTACCAAAAACTTTATTAAAACAGTATATGCTGTATAACTGACATTTTTTTATAGCTGCTGCTCAGAGAAGGTTTTCTTGCAAGCTGAATCAGGCTTTAAAAGTAGTAATACTGGTATTTTTAGAAGATAATTTGAAGTCCTGAAATTTGCCTTAGTTATTTTCTGTCATTTCTACATCCATTTACGTACTTCAGTGAGAAGTAAACTAAAATTTGGTTACTTGCATTAGTGAATGTCTGCTAAATCATTAGGAGATGTTTTGCTGCATGTATTTTAGAAATACTAGTTATAAGTGTACTTTATTATCTTCTAACAGTTTTAAATCTACTTTTTTTTTTCTTTCACAGCTATCTGCATCATATTGGTGCATTTACTGATAAAATACCGACTTCATTTTTTACCAGAAAGTGTGGCTGTTGTTTCTTTAGGTGAGTAACCATGACATTTTTGTATTGGATTTGTGTTAATTCAGGGACTCTCAGTAGTCTGTGCTTGCTCTAGTGTGTGTTAACCATCACTGGAAAGATGCAGCAAACTGGATGCAGTGAAGAAAACAATTCATAGAATTAAATTCACGGAAGAAATCAAGAAATGAGCATATGTGCAGAGACTGGCTCAGTAAAATGAAACAGGCACTATAGGGACATCACTGCCTGAGTACATTGGCAGCTTCCTCTATTTTTGCATCTGCACTGTAGGACAGGATACTGCAGCGCTCCTTGGCAGCAAGACTCTGGCCCTCCCTTTGATGTGGTACATGTGTTTGTATTAGTTTCAGTGGAATTATGTCTGAATATGTGATTTTGATCTAGCTGGGGACTGTAATTGTATCCTGAAAACTTGCCTGGACTGCCAGATAGTTAACTGTCCCTGTAGGACCATGACGAGAGCTCCTCCTATGACTTGAGCTATAAGAATGCCACCCTTAATGAAGATGAAGTGCTTACCTAATTTTAATTAAATTTGGAGTATTCCTAAGCCTGCAGTTTTATGTTAGGGTAATATCATTTATTTATATGCTGTTGCTCCAGATTTATAAGTGTATAAATGAAGAGGAAATCAGGCCACATACATTTATGATTTTCTCCACATACTGTGTAACATAATGTTTAAAGAACTTGGTCTAACTAATCCCAGCAACAGTTTTTCAGCTGATTCTGTAACTTGTTTACAATAACCTGTGATATTTTTGCTTCTGTTACTAGTGACAACTTCACTGACAGCTGTTCTAAAAATGCAACAAAAAGAGAAAGATGCTTAGCTATAATCCTAATGTAGTGTGGAGAAGTGTAATACTTGTTGAGCAGGTAGATTTTTTACTTTCTCCTGGGCTTTGCTGGTACCTTCTCTCATATTTCTTAACTGTATTTTCACACAGTTTCCCAATGGGAGAAAGTAAGGTTTCTGGTGTTTGTCAGTACCTTGTGCTTTCTGGAAAACAGGCATGTTCTTGCATCTTGGGTTTGAGATTGATAAAATCTTAGAGCTGTTACTTAGCAGAAAGAAAAGCATATTTTCCTGCAGGCGCAACTGCCTGAATTTTTAGATAACTGATGCAGACCATATCACATCACTAGCATAGTAGAAGGTATTGAAGCTTTAAGAGACATTCACTTGCAAAGCCTTATTTAAGTTTTGATATTTCTGTGCAACTGAAAAACAAAGAGACCTGTAAGAAATCTGTCATAGTGCTGGTGTGGATTTCTTGAGTATTGCACGCACACCTCATCTTTATAGGAGCATCATCTATCAGGCTTTTGTGCATTTATGCTTCTGTCTACCATAGTATGACAAAAAAAGATGAGAGCTGCTGCAGATCATCCTGCCTTACTTTGTCATCCCCATAGAAACCATTCAGTGTTTGATACACTCTCGACACACTTCTCTTTCCTTCCCTTAATTTACTGCTGTGAACAAAAGTCTTGTGTGGTATGTCTTCCAGTGGTTTCCAAAAGGACATTACTATCCCTTCAGTATCCTTCCTCTTTGTACACAAAAATCCAAGTGACATGTGTTAATGTGGCTTCTAATGAGGTTAGTTACCATTGTTATTAAATAGATAATTTAAATGTAAGCATAATCCCCAGTTTTAAATGCAGCAGTATATCGATTGCTCTTGCTGGCGTAGTTTAGGGGTTTTTTTACAGTCATTGCTTATATTCTTCCCCAGGCCAACTACTGTGCAGTGCTGAGCTGAGGTGTTAGGCAAACTTGTGTCACTGCTCCTGCTGAGCTTTGCAGAGAGCAGCAGAGGCACAGATATTCTTCTCGTTCTATTTCTTGTTCTTGGCATCTCGGCAGCAGAACAAGGATTTTAGCTGTGCTGGTATCTTCTGTACTCTTGACAGTCCCAACAAATGCTTGTTTATGAAACTCATAAGTTTTTGTGCTGGGGCTGTCACTGATACTCAGTATGGGTAAGAAGGAGCAGCAGTGCATCTCTTGTATTTTCACATAAAGGGCACGTAAGAAACTGGCACAGTTTGGTTTTTTGTGTGAACCATAGCATAGCTGTAGTCTGTCTTTCAAGCCAGATGAGATGATACCAGCAAATGTAATTCCACTAAGTCAAAAGAGTATTATACCCAGTAGCAATTCAGTTAACAGATGTCCTGTGTCATTTAAGCCCTATTTATTTAGTTTATTGACTCAGTCATATTTAAACTACTGTCAGCTCTGTTGACAGGACACGGCATCTGTATAATCATTGGAACTGCCAGTTAATTGCTGGTCAGTGAACCTCTGTTACTGGTAATAATCTACACAGCTTGAGTTTCAAGTATCCAGTTTTGCTAGCAATGCCAGAAGTGAGGTGTGTCCTATTTTGATTTGTAAATTAAGCAAATAAAATGGCAGCAGAGAAGGATGATTTTCACAACTGTTTTTCCTTTACTGTGTAAGCTATTCAGAAGCTTTTGGGTTATACAATTTCTAAGGCACGTTACTCTCCTGGTGGACAGGTTGGGTGTGCATTCTCTAAGGCTAGATTTTGATCTTTGTCCTTAAAAATTACTGGAATTTGGTGGTAAAAATAGTTGCCAGAAAAGTTTTTCTGTTTGGTTTGTTCTTGAGTTTTAAGATGTTCTCAGGAAAAATAAAGGTTTTCTAATTTGCTAATGGGAAAATTCCTATAACATGTTCAAAAGAATGAGGCTTAGTTTAACTTTTACAGACTTAGCTTTTCAATGAGCCCCTTGACAAAACTGATCTACCTGATTTAGTAGATGGAACCAGCTGAACAAAAACTGCTTTCATTAATCTAGTAATAAAGGAAGAGTAGTTTGTAAAGATATGTGGGACAGGTTTTAAAAACCAGTGTCAAAGTTTGATTCTGCTGCTATTAAACCCTCTTGGTGATGCGTTATTTTGTGCCAGCTCTCTTCCATGACTGCTTAGCATAATCTTACTTAAGTAGTACTGTTGTGTGTAATATGCAGCTAGAAGCTACTTGTGCTATATGAAGGTGTAAGTTCTATGATTCATGTTCCTTCTTTTGCCTTAACCTGTGCTGTTGCCTTACATTTTTATTGTTGTTCATTTAACTTTTGGTATCATGAGAGGGCCTCATCTGTCTGTGACATTGTTCTTTGTTAGGGTCAGTTTGTGATTAGCTCTTCTTCTAAAATGGGACTGAGTCTTGCTTTTTACTTAAGCTTCTTGAGCTCATAGGATAGGGATGCTCAGCTTGTAACCCACAGGCCATGGTTGACGTACTCACAGGGTTCCAATTTCACAAAGTCATACTGGAGCCCTTCCACTTCAGCAGAAGTGAGTTAAGGGATTCTCTTTTCTTTTAAATCCCCTCTAAACATAGTTTTATGTGAAGGTTCTTAATACTCATTCATAAAATACTGAAAGTTTGTTCAGGAAGTACACTTCGTGATATCAGTGTCTTCAGATGAGTAGGCTCTGGTTGTTGTGGTTTGTTTTTTCCCCACATAAACTTCTTGGTAAGTGATACAAGTACTGCCTGTACCAGTTGAAGACAATGTTGCTGCTCTGCAAAAGTTAGAAATGTTCTAGTCCTTGGCTTCTGACGCAGCTTTCATGCCAGAATGAAAAGCCTGTTAGTACTAAGACCTGTGTTTATATGGCATGTGAGTGGCTGTGTCTGCATTCTGTCCTCCTTCAAAGAACACCAGGCCTTTGATGTTCCTTCATTAATGTTTTGCTCTTCCTTTCCATATAAACCATTTCATGGAACAGTTATTTCTATCCTCTGGGACCAGTGCCTTCACATATTTTTGTATGAAAGAAGGCTTAAGCCTCATGGCTTTGTGTGGATGACACATCCATCAGGAGTAATCCATGTGATGCTATTTGTAAGACTCTTTTGATAGCTACAGCATGAAAGAATAAAAACACATAAATTACAGGAAAGCATACCTCAAGCTTCTCGGCCACTTTTTACCTTTCATTCAGTGTATTTCACTTCTACACCCCAGTGTTTGACTATTAAGTCTCCATTCTGTAAATAAGAAAACACAACTGTGCAGAAACACAGATCTGGAATCTGACTGAAGACAAATTCCTCATAACTTCTTGAAAGCAATTAATGACAATTCATTAATTATTTTCATGACTTCTAAAAGAAATCTTGTTAGTTTGGAGTTTTCTGTCTTATCTGATTGGAGATGAGTAAGAGGAAAGAGCACAAAAACCTTTAACCATTGAGTTTGCAGCACCCTTGGTACAATTCTTTTATACTCAAATTAGTATTTCTACATGACTTAAAAGATGTGCAGTTCGTCTGGGAAATAGTTCTGACAGTGTCTCCACCCTGACCAGAACTTGTTGCCTACTTCATTGCCAGTAAGAACTACGATTTCATTGAGACAGAATTCACTTTTGTGGAGAACGCTGATTTCACTTGAGCTGTGTTAACACTGCAAATAACATTGAAGTGACATGAAGATCTTGTGCTATCACATTAACTCATAACTTCCTGATTCTTTAGCAAAAAAAGACTGAATATTACTTGAATGCAGCTTAGATGAAAAGCATTTTTGAGTAGTTAAACCTGTTGTCTTTATGAACCAATGAACACAGCATGTTCAGTATTCAGATATCCCAAGTGAAAATCTTTAGTGAAGGGATGCTGTGTATTTATGTAACATACTGGGAATTGTAATATATCAGACTTATAAAACCACTTGGTGTTTTTGTGCATTAGGAATGAAAGACTTGCTGCTTTATTTTTTGTCTTGTTTTTTAACTTCTAAAACTTTGTTGACAGACTATTGATAACAGTTAATGGAAACAGTTATCTGTTTTGTGAGTATTTCAGAATGTTTTCTCATTCTCTCCTAGGTATCCTTATGGGAGCTTTTATAAAAATCATAGAAGCTCAGAAGCTGGCCAACTGGAAGGTATATTTGAAGCAATTCATTTTAACTTGCAGAACAATCTTTAAATGTTTAAAATAAGACTGATCGTAATATTAGTTTCTTTAGATGTAGTTTCCAAAAACTTAGGTACATTATACTTGATGCCAAAGTTTGGTTGGTTTGGGGTTTTTTTTTAATAATAATACAACCAATGTGAAGTCCCAATCCTGCTGCACATTTTCTAAACAGTACATTTTTCCTTGAGTAATCATTTTTACAGTAGCAAATCTGTTCCTATTAGATACATGGTAGAAGAAGATACTGTGCATCTTTGGGATCAGTTACAGTAAAAAAATACAGCAATTCAGTTATTTATCTTGTATACTTTTTGACTGTATTTAGTCCTTTCTCCTTTTAGAGAGTTAATTTTGTAGGTGTTTTCATAGAAAAAAATGCAGTTTGACAGCTTGTAGAGTCACCTGTTTACTTGAAGATATTAACATAGATTTCAGAGAGGTAAAAAGGAGCACTTTTCCAAAATAGCTGTGCTAAAAGTCATGTTATTTACTTATTTTGTTTACTTATACTTCAAACTGCAACAAATGGTGGTGCTAAGAACAGACAGTTCACAAAGCAATCCATTCAGCATGGCATGTTTCTTGGGTACTCTGTTGCTTCTTGTGGAAAGACTGCCAAAACCAGAGTGCCTGAAGCAGCAGCATTTTTCACATTGGCTGAGACAATGGAAACATGATTTGAGCTTTAGTTCCATTAGAAAACACACGCAAAGCTTCTGTGCAGAAGGTTGTCCTTGTCCTGGTGCCCGATTCTTCATGGACTTCGGTATTAGAAAGACAAATGTTAACACTGATGGCAACCAAACAGAGGAACATGTGACCAGAGAGAATGTGGGAATCTCCACCCACAAAGATATCCAAAACTTGACTGGATAAAGCCTTGAGAAGCTGAAGTTGCCTTGAGTTGGCCCTGCTTTAAGCAGGGGCTTGGATCAGACACTTTCAGAGGTCCTCTCCAACCTGAAGTAGTGAGTGATGCTATGAGGTCTTATCTATGCATGTGTGGAGTCACAGAGTCTTCCTCAGGGAGGAAGAATCCTGGCAGAAGTGTCTCCAAGAGGTGAAGTGCAGTTTTTGCTTCCTACAGTTTATCCACATTGTCAAAGCAATGAGCTCTTCACTATTCCTGCTTTAATTTAAAGTCTTGATATATTTGAACTGTGATTTTGTTCACAAAGGATCAAACCATTTATTAGGATTAGATCAGTGAATTGATTAAAATCACAGGGATTTGAATCGACAGTTTTAAACAGGATTTATATTAGCAAGCTGAAAATCTCGGTCTGAGTAGTGAATTTTAATCCTAGCTTGCAGTTTAATATTTCTTGGCATTTATGTCCCTAAAGGAAGATTTTATTTTCCTCCTTAGTTGAAATACATTAAAATGCATAGATTTTCATTCAGATGTAGCTTTTTAATTACATATTATACTTCTTTTTTTGACAACTAACTACACTAATTCTGTGTACATTCATTTAAGGAATTACATAGTTCAAGAGTCACGTTGTGATATGTCATTTTTACGTATTTACTTATTAGAAACAGTGAGTAGTGCACTAGTTAGTGCTTTTTCATTCCTGATTTGTGTTATGTGGATTTGACTTGACTTAAAATTGAAAGTCAGTTAAACAGCCACAAAATCAGCATTTTAAAATAGTTTCTTATTGGTTAAATAAAATAATCTGAAAAGGATTATGTATGTAGGGGAAGAAAAGAAAGCTTAAAGTATGCTCTGATTTGACCACTGATTCTATAAATGCAGGGAATATTGATCGTAGCTAGTGAATTACATAGCTTATTTCTTGTAAGCATTGGCCAAATCTTGGGAGGCACTGAGGATGACACCGTGCCCCACAGCATCCTCGTGGAGAAGCTGGCTGGGCATGGCTTGGACAGGCATATGCTTTGCTGGGTTAAAAACTGGCTGGATGGCCAAGCACAGAGAGTTGTGGTGAATGGAGCTAAATCCAGTTGTGACCAGTCACAAGTGGTGTTCCGCAGGGCTCGGTTTTGGGGCCAGTCCTGTTTAACATCTTTATCAATGATCTGGATGAGGGGATTGAGTGCTCCCTCAGTAAGTCTGCAGATGACACTAAGCTGGGAGGGAGTGTTGATCTGCCTGAGGGTAGGAAGGCTCTGCAGAGGGACCTGGATAGGATGAATCAATGGGCTGAGGCCAACTGTATGAGCTTCAACAAGGCCAAGTGCCGGGTCCTGCACTTTGGTTGCAATAACCCCATGCAGCGCTACAGGCTTGGGGACGAGTGGCTGGAGCTGCCAGGCAGAAAAGGACCTGGGGGTGTTGGTGGACAGCAGGATGACCATGAGCCAGCACTGTACCCTTGCGGCCAAGAAGGCCAATGGCGTCCTGGGATGTATGAGAAGAGGTGTGGTGAGTAGGTCGAGAGAGGTTCTGCTTCCCCTCTACCCCTGATGAGAACTTCCCCTCCCCCTGGTGAGACCGCATCTGGAATATTGTGTCCAGTTCTGGGCCCCTCAGTTCAAGAAGGACAGAGAATTGCTTGACAGAGTCCAGCGCAGAGCCACAGGCATGACTGAGGGAGTGGAGCATCTCCCTTGTGAGAAGTGGCTGAGAGAGCTGGGTCTCTTTAGCTTGGAGCAGAGGAGACTGAGGGGTGACTTCATTCATGTTTATAAATTTGTAAAGGGTGAGTGTCAGGAGGGAAGGAGCCAGGCTCTGCTCTGTGATGTCAGATGACAGGACAAGGGGCAATGGGTGCAAGCTGGAGCATAGGAGGTTCAACCTGAACATAAGGAAAAACTTTTTTACTGTGAGGGTGACAGAGCACTGGACCAGGCTGCCCAGAGAGGTTGTGGAGTCTCCTTCTCTGCAGACATTCAAAGCCCGCCTGGACGCGTTCCTGTGTGACCTGGTCTAGGTGATCCTTCTCTGGCAGGGGGGTTGGACTGGATGATTTTTTGGAGGTCCCTTCCAACTCCTAATATTCTGTAATTCTGTGGTGCTGCATCTGATTGCTCTTGTTACCAGCTAAAATAAAGAGTCACAGATATCACATTATTATTCTCTAATTTAAGTTAATTTTACTGTATTAAAGCTTAGGTTTTAACATAGGTTGTCATAATTTAAGATGTGAAAATTTCTAATAAATAATTATTATGTACTTTATAAAATGGTTTTAAATAGTTTTAAATTTACTGTAGAATTTTGGCTTATCTGATACGGAAAAAAAATGAATATTTAACTGCAGGCTATATCTGTGTACAAAGCAAATCTTGTATTGTATCCTTGCCTTAAGAACTTCATAATGTAATTTCTTGCAATCAGGCCTTACTAAGTCTTCAATGGACCTTGTACTTGCTGGTGACTCTTGCTGGCTAGCATGGCTGATAATTACACCCCTCATATTTTACTTTCTTGGTCTCTGCTTCAATGCAGCACAAATGCTATCATTCCTTTTCATTATTTCTTGCCTCCATGTTGACCTCTGCTTTCAGGGGCTTTTAAACAGTGTAATTCATCAGGTATGTGGGGTTTTTGTTCTAGTGCAGTTACTGTATTCACAGAAGCTAGATAGTGTTAGCCATCAACACACAAAATTGTGCATGCAGAATAATGGACTAGAACATTTCAGTATAAAGGACGTGTTTTATTTTTTAAGTCCCCCAAATCCTTTAAGATGATTATCACTGGTACAGACAGGAATGAGACTTTAAAAAGATGAGTACTTCTTTTTTTGAAAGGTGGTGTTTTAACAGAACAGTCAACTGGCTGTTTAACCTAGATTTGAACAAATTAATCGTAGCTTACAAATGTGACAAGTTCTGCTGTATTCAGAACTGTGGAGACCAGGAGGGAGCCTGGTGGGTAAAGAGACAGAGGCACATTCAGCCATGATTAATTTGCCTTCTGTGATTAGTCTGCCAGCAGAAAAAAACAGGTTGTCAGTTTGGGGGTACAATTCCTTAAAGCAGTGTTAGCCAAGAGATGGGATAGGCAACAAAGAGTAGGGTCACTGAAAAATAACATCTTACTTCACAGTAGGTTTCATTTATGTCATTCACATGGTAAAAAGGAAGCACTGGAATAGTACCATTTAATTACAGGCATAAATTACATTTGCCAGGAAGAATCAAGCCTCAGACTTTTAACAGTGGTATATGTCTTGACCCTGTTCACTTGCAAGTGTACTGAGACGATGATCTGATTTCTTCTTGTTAGTTTATGAGTTTTCTAGTGAAACTGTACTTGGTCATAGTCAACCTAGGTTATATTCAAACGAGTGGCCAAGAGGTCATCGTTCCTTGACAGTCCATACAGATTTTGAGACTCTGAGATAAAATGGGAATGCTTTTTGTGGAAACAGAAAGACTTTTCCTTTCCCATAAATAACTTCTTTTCTGTGCAGCTTATTTGGACACAGTAATTTAAAATAAGTAGTACTTAGATTTCTATCATTGGATTAAAACCAAAAACAAAACAGTAGAAGTAGCAGCCCTGGAGTAGATTGCCATTCTTCAGTCTTTTATTTTGTGATAAGGGAGAAAGATGAATGCCATTTTCCAACATTTTCATTTTGTTTTGGTTTAAATTTCCCTTTTGGAAGATTTAATGCTGTTTCAGTGATTATGATATCCTTCAAATTATACCTCATTTTTGTTTTGCAGGAAGAAGAAATGTTTCGTCCAAATATGTTTTTTCTGCTTTTGCTTCCACCTATTATATTTGAATCTGGATATTCATTGCACAAGGTTAGCCCCTGCCAGCCATTCATTTTACACATTGAGGTTTTGTTTGAAACACATTCTGCTTTTAGTTATTTTCATGAGGTTTAGAATACTTGCGTTAAATTCCATCATAATAATTATCAGGGAATTGAGTATGCAAACTTTAAGCCTCCTCAAACTAGAATGCAGGGAATGTAGCTTGTTACTGTTAACTGAATGTTGGCAAGATGTTGGGTACTTCACAGAGATTATTTTCCTTGGTTGGAGAGGTTTCTTACCTCATCAGAGCTGTACAAGGGCTGATGTGAAGGAGGCAGAATGGGAAGGAGTAGGATCAGAAGTGGGAAAGGTGGGGTCACTCCATAGCTAGCAAAGAGCTAAATGTTTACAAGGTTTTTCACTCTTTGCCTGAGAGCTGTGTTTTCATGGACATTTCTCACAGCGCTAGTCCTGTCTGAATGGTTCTGGTCCTCCCTTGTGCTGCCTTTCTGCTTGAGCTGTGCTGCAGAAGAGGGAGTGAGCAGTGGGCAATAGTAATATGAAGTGGTACCAATACTGAAGATTTTTTCATACAAAATCACAGTCTAAGAAATGGACTAGGAACTGGGAAGTTTACAAGCCTTTTTCACATGTCCTATTACAGATGTATTAATTTACAGTTCTGTCAGGTGGGGAAGGTGTCCAAGTGCTGGTGAATGTCCAGCTGTTCGCCTGAGGATTTGTTTGTGGTTAGGATACCAGACTGACATCCTGTCCTGGCTATCAGAGGGTTTTGCCGTTGTCCTCAAGAGAGCAAGCTCTTTAGGCAGGTGGTGTGGATGTATGTTCTGGGGTACCTGGAACCAAACTAATGAAGCTTTATTAACTCAGTTGTGAATCGGAATCTAAATTAGAGGCAAACCCAAACATTAATTTTCCCTCAGATCATTTTCACTGATTTACTGACTTTACTACTGTGTTCCAGGGTAATTTTTTTCAGAACATTGGTTCCATCACTCTGTTTTCTGTATTTGGCACTGCAATATCAGCTTTCATTGTAGGTGGAGGAATTTATTTCCTGGGCCAGGTAAGAATAACTGCTTTGAAGCAATTAAGTTTATCCGGCTTGCTCTTTGAAAGTCCATTTTTCAGAGCAGACAAACATAGTAAACGTGAATTCCTGGGTCCCAAAGTCCAGTTCTCTGCTATCACAGAGGCAATGTTATATTAACCCCTTCCATAGCTATAGCATGTTCTATGGTAAAAGCAGTTCACTTGAGTTAAGTTTTACTTTTTTTTACTTACTCAATCTTCTCATTCAAAGGTTGTTCCAAACCCTGTGTTCTCTACAGCCATCTTGTAATTTCCAGTGTTAAACTTACTTCTTCTTGTGTCAATAATTTTTTTTTTCACTTCTTTGCTTTAGTGTTTCCCACATGATTAGATAAAGACAAAAATAGTTCTATTTTCTCTCAGACTTCATTCTGGTAGGCCAAACAGTCCGTATTTTCCTCTTTGCCTCTCAGATTTCCATTCTTTTGAATGCCGTATTTACTCTCCTCACCTCTATCTGTTTCAGTTTCATCTGGTCTTCCCTGATTTTGGGTGACCAGAATTGTAGCAGTAAATCACTGTTTTAGGGCAGTATTAGACTGGGTAACATCACTACTGTGATTTTTTTTTTTCATTATAACAAACTTAGGATTTGATGAATAGTTTCACTTTTAAAAACAGCAGGAAATCACAGTTGATTGTTATTTTTTATGTTTTACCTATTCTTTCAGGCTGATGTAATTTATAAACTCAACATGACAGACAGGTAAGCTCTTGGGGAAATGTTGTAGTATATGAAATGAAGCCTTCTTCAAGATAACTGTATATAGGAAGTGCTCTTAAAAGACAGAATTAGTTTCTCAGTATCAGTAATGTAGATTTTTCAAGAACTTGGCAAAGGATCTAATCAGTTTTTAGGAGCACACACCCTACCATTAAATAAAAGTTAATTCCTGATTTTTGTTTGTTTGTTCATTGTATAGCCAAGACAGCAGTTTTTTGTTAAAATCCATAAATAATTTGGGTGGCAAGCAAGAAAAGTAAAAAGTAAAACATGCATGAACAATAAAAGTCTTCCTTACTTGGTTCCAGTGTTTGACTTTACGCAGCTGAGCAGTCCAATTGCCTCTGTATTATCTATCTTTGGATTCCAAAGTAATGAAGTTTTAGCAATTCCCTTTAAACATTCCTCTCTAGTACTCCTGAACAGGTAACACTGTGCATGTATGATACATGGTTTGGGCTGTGTCTGTAAAGTTATTTGGTTTCCCATTCCTCTGATTTTTTTCTTATTTAGTTGGAGTAAGACATTGATACTGTTGTTAAAAGCTGGGAGATAGATATTTCTCCAGCATCTCTTCCAGCTGGACAACTTTTCGGTGTATCAGTAAATGAAAAACAAAAACTTCCCTTCTGTCACTTCAAGTTCTTGTGAATGGGAAGAGAACATAACATTTCACTGTGTAGAAACTGTAACACATAACATCTTTGTTACTAGTTGTTCACAGGAGTTTGCTAGGTACATGTTTTTCTTTCATCTAGTTTTCTTTTTTGTTTTGTCTTCTCCCAGTTTTGCATTCGGCTCTTTAATATCTGCAGTTGACCCTGTGGCTACTATTGCCATTTTCAATGCCCTCAACGTAGATCCTGTACTTAACATGTTGGTTTTTGGAGAAAGCATTCTCAATGATGCAGTCTCTATTGTCTTGACCAAGTAAGTGCATTTGAACTACATGTGTTTATGGAAACAGCAACCACATTATTTTCTGTTAATTAGTTATTCAGATATATAATAATTCTTACATCTCCATTTCAAACAAATTGTGTCTTTCTGGTGTAAAGCTGAAATTTGCATCATCCTTCTTTGTTAAAAGCAATCCATAACATAAACTGCATAGGCAGAAGACAGTAAATGGATGTCTTATTAGCACTACCTCAGTGCCTCATCTGATTGACCCCATACAATTGACTGCTTTCTAAGTCCATACGTTTACCAGGTCTCTTTCCATCTGAGGGTCCTGACAACAGAAAACCATCATGTGTTGTCTCAGGCTGCCCAGGGAAGTGGTGGAGTCACCATCACTGGAGGTGTTAAAAAAACGTAGATGTGGCACTTCAGGACATGGTTCAGTGAGCATGGTGTTGGGTTGACAGTTGGACTTGATGATCTTAGAGGTCACTTCCAACCTTAAATGATTCTATGATTTACCTTGCCAAATGCATATCATTTGCTTATACCCACAGTCACACTTCAGTTTGTAGAGGGGATACATCAACATCCATGCAATAGTTTTATATTTATGTTGGGGGTATCACAGGGAATAGGAATATCCAATATCATTATCCTTTGCCAATGATCATTCTTTGGGGTTGAAAGAGAAAAAAAAAATCCGTATCTTCATGTTATTGCCGAATTCAATAGATGGGACTATGTATAGAAGGAGTAGATATACTGAGAAAGTAGTGAAGTTAGTAATTTTTGAATTAAGGAATTGCTTTTAATACATTCATGGTTCTTTAATGGAAGACCATGAAGGCTAACAGCAGTCAAAAGGAACACTAGTTATAGTGCATGTTCTCTCTGCATGGAATTCTATGAAATACATTTGTGAAATTCAAAGAAATTTCTCCCCATTCCTCCTAAAAGCTGCTTTGTTTTTCTTCAGTGACCCTCTTCTCTGTCATCCACACCTAAATATTTGATGAGGTCTTCCTGTTCATTTGTTCTTCTCTGAGGATCACATGATCTATCTCTTTTCTTTCTCATGCCTTGAGTTTTTACCACTGCAAAATGTGTTTTCCTTTTCAAAGTTTGAAAATTGTTTCATAATACTGGGTATTATCATAGCCTATTTACGCCATTCTGGGGATTCTTCAGAAGAGTAATGCTGGATTTCCAGATTTTTAGCAGAATTAGGTTTCCCTTTGGGGATTACACTAAGACTTGATTTAACATCTTTTGACATTCCTCTTGTTACATGTATCACAGTAAAAGCCTTTTACGAGTGGTAGCAACAAAGAAACTAAAGTCTTTTTTGTTGGTTGTTCTCAAAAGATGTTTGGTATTTTTGGATCCAGGCTTAGAATTTATAACCATTTCTTTTTATTTATTTTTTAATCATATCTAGCACAGCGGAAGGTTTGACAAGAGAAAATATGTCAGATGTAAGTGGATGGCAAACCTTCCTACAGGCACTGGGATACTTTCTTAAGATGTTTTTTGGCTCTGCAGCGCTTGGCACACTTACTGGTCTTATTTCTGCATTAATATCCTTTTAAAATTTTGGTATACACATGTATACATTGAAGAGCTTCAACATCCTAATAGTATTTTTCTCTCTCATCTTCTCCAGCATTTCTTAGGCAATATTCCTTATTAGACATTATTTTGTTGTCTGAAGATTTTCTCGTGCTCATTTTGTTTTTATGTTGGTATGCATGGGTGTGTATTTAAAAAGTTGCATGAAGTTTTTATGAACATAATTAACGTCCAAAATGCTGTATAGTGGCTTATATTATGTGCATTGGAGTGTTATAAAATATGGTAATTGTTTTGTAAATTCAAAATATATTAATTCCATTTCAATACCAATCCATTTTTACAAGCATGTGGCTCCTTTTTTACATGCATAAAAAAAGCTGTTTTTCCTGAGGGCTTTTGAGTCAGACCAGCTCATTTGTCCTTATGTATCATATTCAGGCAGCTGAATACAGATACTGTTCTATTTGAGTTTACATTGAGTTACATTTTGCCTCTTCCATTTCCATGAATTGGTTGCTAAACAACCCAGAAGCTTCTCTGCTGAGATAAGGAAGGATGTTTGTTCTAAGTCAGATAACTTTGTTACTTTTCAGAGGTTTTTTTAATGTTAATGCTGACTTCCCTGTGGGTAATCTTTTGTGCTAGGTGTGTATAACAGTTATGGATGTCATTTGGGACCTGCTGTTAAGCACTTTGTTTGTAAATAACAAGAACAGAGTGTTTGATTAAATATAGATATATTTCCTCTCTTGGTTCATTAGCCTGATTCCATGAACTTTGAAATTATTTCATGCATCACAACAAAAGAGGGAGACAGATGTTCAACACTTCTTTCACTGATATCTAAATGATATTAAGACAAGAGAAAAGCAGCTTATTTGCCCTATTACAGTTCTTTGTGGCTCAAAGTATTTGATTTACCCTAAGCATGCAAAATTTCAGTGCAGCAAAGGCTGTCTCTTACTGGTTGCTAGCAGATAAATACAGTTGTTGCTTGTTCATGATCCAGGAGGAATGCAAACTGCCATGTCACAGGCATCTAATCCTCTAAATTTTAACAAAGATGGTAAGTGAAGTATTTCAAGTGTTAAGGTAAAGATGTGATTGAAGGAATATTCCTGTTATATTAATGTTAATATTAATGCAGATCTGTCATATTCAGTCTAGTGACACGGGAGAGGAGATTGCTTGCATGCTTAGTGTGTCAAATAACTTATACTTGGCAGCTGTGCTCCATAACCGTGCACAAGCAGAGCTTGTGGCTCTTGACAAATGTCCATGTTTATGACTACAAATATAAAGTGAGTTTTAAATATCTTGTGTATAAAAAGGCCATTATTTTTGTTAAAACATAAATGAGAGCTATTTTACTTTTAATTTGCTGTTTCTTCGTTTTCCTCTATTTTTAGAAAAGCCTCTAGTATTTAATGATTCTCTGTGGATTTTCTGCAGTATTTTTGGAACAGAGATTTCAAAGACTGATCATGTAGGGAAGTGGCTTTTCTAGATCCAAACAAACAATTTGGTATGTAGCTATCAATATTGTATAGGTACATCAGTAGCAGATCTTTGTTGTCCCTAGGTCTGTCCATTCTGATAGACTCCTACTAGCAGTAGCTTATATAAGAAACAGTCCTCATAGGAAATTCATCTCTCCATACTTGAGTCAAGGGCCAACGTGTAGACTTTCCTAGCTATTCAGCAGATAAGTACATTAGGCGTAATCATTGTTTTGTAGTGGAATGACATAGATTTAAATTTTTATTTGTGTTTCTTTCTTTTTATTTACTTTTTCCATAACATTTTCATTTGTACGTGCTAAAGCACATTGATTTAAGAAAGACACCCTCGCTGGAGTTTGGGATGATGATTATCTTTGCTTACCTTCCTTACGGACTTGCAGAAGGTATCTCACTCTCAGGTGAGTGGCAAAATGAGTATGTGCAAGTGTCTTTGATAAATTTAGGAAGTAGGTAATATTTGTGACCGGGACCTTGTTTTTTATATGTTTTCTCATTTAACCTGTGCTGTTATTTTTAACCTTGACTTACTTTAAAGAAATACTTATTCTCTATTTCCTGTTATGGAAAAGGTAGTGCAGTTTGCATAAGCATTAGTTAGCCAATATAAATACTAGTATTCTCCCCAGTCACCTCTGCCTAACACAGAATTAACATTTCAGCTAGAAGCTGTGGGTCTCAGCCATGTCAGCTCACTTAGATAACATCTGGCCTCCTGTAGCAGTTTTTCTGCCTGTCCTTCACTGCATAAAATTACAATAAAATATTACAGAATTACAGTGCCATTGCATTATATAACCAACACATCCCTATGGTGGTATACAATGAAAAAGAATGTATCGTAAGATTCCTAGTTAGTTACTCTCAGGATTATATAGATTCTTTTTCATTTTATTTGTAAAGTCAGCTTTTTTAATTTGCTCAAGTGCCTTCAAGAATAACTTCTCAAGAAATATAAACTTTGAATGACCTTAGTCAGGTCACTGCAAAAAAAGGATTCTTTTGACTGTACCTCAGCTACTCTGATCCTTCCAGTTGTGTTCATCTAGACCACTCCTGGGCACGTAGCTCCAGCCACGTACTTCTAGTCTGTTAAATTTCCCTTGTTTTGAGCAAAGCAGTATACTCCCATGTGTCATTCTGTCCTCTCGAGATCTACATTGCAATTGATTTCCTCTGGGTTATATCAGCAATTTTGTTATTTTCTCACAAGGAGTACTGAAGTTGTTCTTCAAGTGGACTAAATTTTTCCACAATCCTAACCATCATCTCAAGTGACATCCTTTGCAGGTGTAAGTCTATGCAACAGCCATGGAAATGCTTAAAACTTCTGTTAAGATACCTGGCTCCCTATGAAGAGTGAACAACTGACAGCATCTGTGATATATCTTGAGCAGTTAGTGAAATAGGTTGAAATTCAGATTCTTCCCGTAAATAACCAACAGCTGGGAAACAAGGCAGATGGAAAAAATCCCCAACACAAATCAAAGTTTTGTGAAATACAGTGAAATGTGACATAGATGTTCTGGCCTGTGATATCAGCTCTGTCCAAGTTGTGTGTTATCATTAGGGCAACTGAACTCTTTAATGGAAAATTTGGTGGTTTTTCCCATAGTTGATAGCTGAGTTTAATCTCTGCAGATGGTTTAGTGACCCTTTCTGCTGGAGGCAAGGGATATTCTGCATGGTAGCATTCCTTGCAGGCCCTACGTATCAGGCTGTACCTTCCTTATGGTCACACTCAACGATCTTAAAGGTCTTTTCCAGCCTAAATTATTCTGATTCCTACAAAGGTAATTTTTGCCCTGAATTCTCAAGTCTCAATAGCTTTTCTGATTCTCAGACTGACAGAAAATTGGGGATATGCCTGTGTGTGCTACTCGTTCATAATTTTTTATGGTATTAGACATGGAGTGAATTCACACTAGCCCTCTAACTCTGCTTTTGGTGGAATGATTTGGCCTCACTGATCAGCAGGTAGGAAGGAGTGACACACTTACTGGGAGAACTGAATTGTAGAGTTCTCCAGCCTCACTGTTCTCAAACTAGTTTTATTCTTCTGATCTCACTTCTCTACTGTTAGGAGAGTGAAAAGCAGGAAAACCACTAAAAAACTGGCTTTTTATTTCCCTCTTATGGGAAAATGTGACATAACAGGGAGTTATTCTAGCTTGCAAGTGACCTATACTGGACCTCCTAATATTTAATATGACCAGTGGAATGAGACCAGTATGAATAACAATGGTAATAGAAACCCCACTTATTGCCTTTTAAGCTTTTGCATTAGTAAGGACTGTAAACGCAAATATTTGCAGAGTGCAAGCTATTCTTCTTCTGTTGACTGCCACATTTTTGTCTACAGGTATCATGGCAATCCTCTTCTCTGGTATTGTGATGTCTCACTATACACACCATAACTTGTCCCCAGTTACACAGATTTTAATGCAGCAGACACTGAGAACTGTTGCTTTCATGTGTGGTAGGTGCTACTTGCTATTAATACCTATTAATTCCTATATTAATAGTTTAAGATTTTATTTGCCTGAATTGGTGATTCTAGTGGGAGCAGCAGAGGTGTGAATTTTCTTCTAGCCATTTGTATGTCAGTGGTATGTGTCTAAGAGAAGAATTCCTAATAGTGGAGGCTCAAGGCAGTCAAAAGTCACCTTTCCTGCCACACTGGATAAAACAGACAGTAAATCTCTCTCTCCCATCCTGCAGGCTCCTGCTAAGATTTGCCGTAAGATTGATAACCAAATAGAAATCTCTGACTCCTATATTCCTCTGTCTATTTTTAGGAATGGATTTTAGGAGATGGATTTTTAGCTGTATTTTTAAAAATGGTTTTGGATATAAAAAGCTATTTGCAAAAACAATAGCTTCACAAACAGAGAAGTTATTAGAAGTAGTGATACAAGCAGCTCACAGTCCCATAGCCTTTCCGTTTCCTTTTTACAAGCCAAACTTTTAAAGAAATTACATGCTTACAATTACAAATGTATCTCTGTTTTTTAGGAGATGGTATGAACACCTTCTGTATTGTTTGCAGGAAGATGCATTGGAACATGGTCAGGAAGCGGCCCTGCTGCAAACTAAACTTAACCATTCATTACCCACCAGTAGCTCATCAGGGTTTGGGCTTAATCTGTTACAAATGCTAAAAAAGTACATATTCATTCAAGTCACTGTAAAGGAGTTATTTAAGATACTGTGCAATTTTGTATACATTTGCAGCAGGTTTTGAACATGCAAATATAAGTATCTAGTACCCAAAGCATGACCAAACAATGTCTTATGCTGCAGTAACTCAGGTATTCATACTATTTATCCAAAACCATGCGATTTTAACTGCCTTTATGATAAGGAACCTACCTTGCTAGGACAGCAGTGAACTGACGAAACATCTTGACTCTGCAATTCTCTTGTGGCAGTGGGTTGGCGCTGTGGAAATAAAATGTTCAGATTACTGTAGTCATTCTGCATCGGTGGTACTATTTCAGATTTGCAAACACCACTTCTAGAGGTTATTGGAATATACAGGGGTTGTCAGATCATACAGTACAGTATTTTATTACAAAGAAAGTAATGAACTGTTGCCATTTATAAGAATTTGATTATTTGAGTACTTTATAATGGTGTTCAGTTTGCAATATATGAGATTGTGCCTGACATTTTAGTTTTATATGGAATCTGATTCAAAGCTACAGAAGTTAAATAGTCACTCCTGTGTTCTGCTACTTGTCCCATATTCCTCAAGTAAAAAATTCCTTAGTCTTCAGAATAAGGTTTTGCTCTCTTTGTTCATACTCAGTAGTAATTTAGTGCTGAAAAAAGCCTAGACACTCACAGATTAAGGTGCTGATGACTGACAGTGAGAGTGGAAATTTGGCCTTTTGCATAATGGTACTTGTGCCTATTTTGTGTGTTCAGAAGTCAGGAAATACTATTTTATGTACAGTATGAAATAACTTATAAAAGAAGTACATCATTTAAGATGTGATTTCTCTTTTTCAGAAACATGTGTTTTTGCTTTTCTTGGCCTGTCAATTTTTAGTTTTCCTCACAAGTTTGAAATGTCCTTTGTCATCTGGTGCATAGTAGGTATTTACTTTCTTCCATACTTGTTTAGATGTGTTTTTTGGTGTTGGGAAAAGGGGAAACATCTTATAGTTAAAATTTTAAAATAGTTACATTTTATAGGTTTATATAAAAATATTTTTATATATTTATATATTGTACAAAGGTAACTCTCACTAATAGCATGAAATTATTATTATTGTTCTCAGCATTTTGCTGTACAAATATGTCTTTAAGAGATTGCAGTTTGCTGTCATTTTGAAGCCCTTCTGTGTAAGATTATTAAAAACAGGGAAAAGAACCTTTCTTGTTTTGACCCTATTATATTTATTAAAATAAATCTCAAAAGATACTGAGATTATTATGCATGCCACTTTATTCCAGAAGTTATTTTACAAGAAAACAATCCTGAGTTTTTATGTATCTTTAGCTTCATTTGAATGATTTGTGTGAATGGGCAATTCATAGAAACTACAGAGTAAATGGTATCAAACTATGCTCCATTTCATCTCTCCAGGACTACAGCTTTTGAGTCTTTCTCTCATATATCAATGCAGTTCGTTTACATAAACCAATTTAGTCCACACGTCACTTCTTCACTCTGAGTTCACCTTCTTCAGACGAAGCCCTTACTCAAACCTTCTCCAGTGTATATTCGTTCTGTGACTCCATTTTTAATTCTTTCTTTCATTCTGTGCTTCAGTGTAGCTTTATGTAGTGGCACTTTGAATTATGTTTCACATAGAGGGAGGTTACCTACATCTGTTGCTGTTATAATTGTTCAACATAGACATGAAAAGTATGTTCTCTTTTGCAGAGTCAAAAGGAAAATACGAATACATTTCATGTACAGCAATATAAACTAGCACATTTTAGTCCATGGTTCAGGGGAAGAATTGTTACGTATAATTTACAGGTAGCGATATCAGCATGGGGAGCTGCTTTCACTGCATTACACCCAACTTCCTTATCTAAATATATCTAAGGTGTGACACTTCCTTCTATGTAGCATTACCATCTCAGGTGTAATGCAAGTTGTCTAATTTTGGGGTGATTCATAAAGGAAAACAGCACAGCCCTTCAAGGATCCTGCTGACTAATTCTAGGATATTTACATTATCAAGGTCATTTTGTGGTGGAGCTTAAAAGCAATGCCATTGTGAAAACCTTTGTTTCTCCAAGTTAGTTTTCACTGTATTTGTTAATTGTCTACTACTAAATCAATACCTTTTTCCCCCCCTCTCAAATGTTGCCTCAATGTGTGGTATATTTTATACCCATACCCAGGGAAGTGTTCAGGAACTGGATTACATGCTATTCATTTGGCTGCTGGCCTTTTTTTCTGAGGAACTGGTCCATGGGGAAACAATAGAAATATCTTACTGCCTCTTAGCTGCTGCACCAAGGGAATGATTAAAGGAGCTGAACTGACTGAACTGAGGAGAACTTTTACCCAAAGTAATTATTGGTCTCTCTGGAATGCCTCTTGGGTTTCATTTATTTATTATAAGTAAAGTAGTGTCTGGCCTCTGTCAGTGACATGTCTGGTTTAGTTTCAGTTAAGCAAGATGTTTAAAAAGTTAAATTCTACACTGAGCTATGCTGAGAGATTTCTTTATGTTAGTTCAGCAGCACACCTACTTGCAAGAATTGGGAGTGAAAAGATCGTATTCATCTTACCCTGTACAAACCATATGCAACTGGAGTGGTAACATCACATGGTCTTTTGCTTTTATTTCTGTTTTTCAGGTACTTGTTCTGTTTGGTAGAGCAGTGAATATTTTCCCACTTTCCTACCTACTCAACTTTTTCCGTGATCATAAAATCACCCCCAAAATGATGTTTATCATGTGGTTCAGTGGTAAGTTAAAGCTCAAAATAGAAAGAACTGGAAATAATGTTTTCTCCCTTTCATTGTGTGGGCTACTCAGGGAAGAACTGGTTTTCCACCTGTGGAGCAAAACTAAACATTTGCACTGTTCTCTTTCCCCTTTGTGCTAGAGGACTATGCAGTGGTGATGCCCACTAAAGCTTTGCTGCAAAGAATCTACTTTTCTTTATAGTTCTGGCAGCTTCACAGCTTGAACAACAGTATCTGAAGAGCTCAGATTCATTTTAGGGTGGTAACCAAATGACAAATGGAGATGGTATAGGGTTGTAAAAGTCTTTTAAAGATGGAGAATTCCTGTTGAGTTACCGGGGTGCTGAGGACCAGTGTAGCTGCTGATTCACTTTTCATTGACTTGCTGTTATTTCTGATAAGGTTTACGTGGTGCAATTCCCTATGCCCTCAGCCTCCACTTGGGCTTGGAACCAATAGAGAAGCGGCAGCTCATTGGGACAACAACAATCATCATAGTACTGTTCACAATTCTGCTGCTGGGAGGAGGAACTATGCCTCTTATCAGACTGATTGACATTGAGGATTCCAAAGCACGCAAGAGGAACAAAAAGGACATTAATCTTAGCAAGACAGAGAAGATGGTTGGTTTGGGCTTCTAATTCAGAGGATCACTGATTTTTTTTTTCATTTTTATTTTTACATTTTCCAAGACTAGTACTTTATTTTTTACTAAAAAGTAACGTGAAAGCAATGAAAAAAGCTAAGGTGGTAGGAAAAAGCCAAGCAATATAATTCTAAAATATCACAAAGACAGAGCTTAGTTAGTGCTTACACCAAATAACTGTTTGAACAAAGGGAAGAGAAATAGTTTCTTAACTCACTCGAATTATAAATTGATCCATACAAATTAAAGTAGCTCCTGCAAAAGCATAAAGCAGATGATACAGGATTGAGTCATATACAGAGGGAAAGTAGCTAGTACAGTGTGAGTCATGAATTAATCATAAAAGGCAGATGGGAATTATTTAGAAAAAGCAAAGGTCATGAGAAGATGGTAACAACAGCACCCCTGTGACTGGGTTTTATTTTAAAACAATTTTTGGCTAAGCAAGGATACTGAAGGAAAACAACAGCCAGGCTGAAGTCTCATGTGCAAAAGCCTCAAGTACATAAAGTATGCCAGAGCATTTTCCTGTTTTTCCCCAATCAGTCAAACAATACATGCAAGGTATTGTTCTGTAGAGTGGGAAGAACAGCTCCTGCTGGCATGAGGTTTCAGAAAGCTTGCAGTCTTCAGAATTATCTTACCCTGTCATCATAGGGAGGTGTGTATAGGAAAAGCACAAGGATAGTGTGTATCCTGATATAGGGCTTGTTTTCAATGAGACAATGACATTAGTATTCCTTCCTAGATGGAATCACTGTCCAGCTCACAAGAGAAAATCTGTGCATTAGAAATCTGTTGTCAGCAACAATACAAAATATGGAACATTTGAGGTCTTTTACCTTTCAGCATGAAAGGGGAAGCTAAGCAGTTCTGAGAATCAACAGCTTGACATATTCATACAGCCATAAGCTCTGGTAGGCTGAGGTGATAATTTTCATATTGTTCCAGCATAGAAATTGGTCGTGAGAAGAAAGAGCAAAGAGCAGAGGGCTGAAGCAAGCTGGAGGGATGACTGCCACTTTTCTCAGGTTATTCCAATATTTGTGATCTTTCTAGGGAAATACCATAGAATCTGAACATTTATCAGAGCTCACAGAGGAGGAATATGAAGCCCAGTACATAAAACGCCAGGACCTCAAAGGATTTATGTGGCTTGATGCCAGGTATTTGAATCCTTTCTTCACCAGAAGACTCACACAAGAGGTAAGTCTTTCTTTATTTCTTGAAGAAAAAACACTGTGGTAGAGTTGGTATCGTTTCACTCTGTACTATTCAAGGCTCACAGCATAGCCATGCAACTTCTACATTAGGAACAGCAAGCCATCTATTAATTGTGCATATGTAGAGCAGCTGTAATGAAAAGCTGCACTGTAAAATTGCAGGTTGGATTAAATGAGCATCTCTCAGGGCTACCACAATTAAACTTTGAAAGGTGTATGGGTTTAGTGAACTCGCTTTTAATCTTGCAGAGTACCATGAAGAGTATCAGGAGTTACTAGTTACTACTGTTGCTAGAAAAAGCTGGTGCCACTCATGCAGAGTTTTTAAAGTGCTATCACATGAAGTTCCTGCCTTTTACCGTACATGTTCCTGTGAATTCTGGAGCTGCAGAGTGCAGTTTTTGTCTTGAAAATGTGCACCATCATTGCAACCTTCACTTTTAAGACTTCTTGACTGTGAAGCCAAGACTTTGAAGGTGTAAATGCAAAATGACACCTGACTGAACATGCAACTTGCATTGAGTGTCTCCAAAAGGTGTAAATACTATGCCATTTTCACTCCTATGCCTCAGAAACCTGAGACTCCTTAGCCACATAATTCACTGTTTTTCCAGTTTGCCATAGAATTAAGCATATTTGCTGTGGAACAGATCATTTTGTGTAAAGTGTGTACATTCCATCTTCCTAGCTTGCTCAAACATACTATTTTTCCTCTTGTTTTGTACCTTTCTTTTCAAAAGAATGCTTTCAGCACTTTTCACAAAAGCTAGAGGCATTTTTTGCAAAACCAAAAAGGAATCAAGAAACCAGAGTAAGCATCTGATTCATAGTTGGTAGCCAAAAGCAAAGGCTGCCATCCAGATTGCAACCAAAGGCTAGAAAAATAAGTCTGAACCAGCAAAGCAGGCCACAAGGTTCCCACTGTCCCTAGGAACACAGAGAGAGGAGTGACATTCAAAGCCAGGCCATCCAGACAGCATTAGGGTTGTTGAAACCCACAGAGAAGGACTGTCTAGAAAACACAGGTAAAAACACCTATTGTCAAAAAATCATCCATGGAAAGAATTACTGACTGAACACTTGATAAATATTTTCTGTTGGGAGACAGAATTGCTTTGCATGCTTAGAGACTGGGAACGGATTATTTCGTAAGGAATGTGTTAAACTAGTCTCTCTTTTGCTGTAACACACAAGTAGTTTTGTAGCCAAGTAACAAACTGTGTTGGTTTGCTTTTGCCTTAGGACTTGCATCATGGGCGCATACAGATGAAAACCCTCACGAACAAATGGTATGAAGAGGTACGACAAGGACCCTCAGGATCTGAAGATGATGAGCAAGAGCTGCTGTAACAGACTAGGGCAGGAGTGCAATGAGTTTATCATTAGAGCATTAAAATATCAAGAGTCTGACTGCAGAAAAGCTGGACAGCTAAGAGTGAACTTCCTGATTTCAGATAAGTCTTGTGCTACGTGTTTAGGTATAAAACTGCAGATGTAGTGTGTTTGATATTACTAGTCAGTGATGGAAACCCATAAACATCAGACACTAGACTGAATAAAGAACCTTTCATTCAGATTTTACCTATTGCCTGTTGAAAAGCAGAAACAGCTGCCATGAAACACTGACATTGTTTAATGGGAGGGAGTTCTTCCTATTATGAAGTCTGCTGTAAACATATGCTGAAGTACAGAGCCATTGTATGACTGCAAAACAGAATGAATTGCGCTTTACTTTTTTTTTAATATATATATACACACACACACACATTCATTCACAGCATAGAAAGTCTTGACAGTTTATAGTGTGAATTTGTTTCAGCACTAGTAAGGGAAGCTGACTGGAATAAATCTCTAATTTATGGGATTATTTGCACATTATGTATCCAGTTAGGATGTATACCTTGACAAAAAGCAGATGTTGCACATACAAGGAAGCACCTCTGAAAACTGATGGTTTTTCATTTAAGAAATTCTTTTTCTATTTTATGGGATTTTCTTTTTTTTTTATACTGAGGTGTCTAATCAACAGTACTGCTTATAGCATGGTTTGGGCAAGTGGGGGATTGTATGACACAATACAGAACTATGTTTGAAATTCTAGTTTTAATGTGTTTTTTCCTTTGGCTAAAGACAGTTGGTGTTGGCTTTCTGTAATTGACAGTTGCTCCTTGCTGGTACGCTGGCTCTAAATCTTAGAAAACAGCAGCTTTTGTTTAGCTTAATTCATGAAGTGTCCCTAACAATCCAGAATTCAGCACTGGAATTTTTCAGTTCTGGTGGAACCAAAAGCAGTGAGTGCATGAGGAAGAAGAGTCTACAAAATCTAATCCAGGTACTGAAGGGTCCACATTGCTGAAGCAGCCTCAGCTGGAAGTGCCAAGCAGCTTTCATGAAGCTATCCTGTTTGTTAATGGGATATTTTTTTTTCCTCTTCTGCTTACACTGTTTCAAGATCAACAATGTAATTTCACCTTCTCTATGTGGCCTAGTCTGTTTGCTCAAAATTACATAGACCTAAAGAGATACCTGAACAGTTTCTTGCATGTTTGCCATGGTTACACATGCAGCAGTTTGCTCTTGCTGCCAACCCAAATTCCTCCTCAGTCATTTGCATATTCACTGTTGACATGTGAAGTGTAGATCTGCATGTAAATCTGACATGCAAGTGCACATGGCTGTTTCTGAAAGTGTGAGACTTATATTTTTGGTCTGGTTTTGCTACTGAGGGTTTTAATCGACCGCTTATCTGCTGGGAGGAATAAAAGCTCAAGAATGTACTTAGAATACTAAATCTGTGTTGGCTGAGCAGTTTTTCCAAAATAACACATTTTGCTACAGGACTCTCTTCTCCCCTTTCCCTGCCCCTTTGGTTCAAAGAATTTGTCTGGTAATCGCACACCTGAAATGTGCACTGGTGGGAGGCTGAACAGGGCATGAACTCAGCTTCTGGTGTGAACTTGATCCTTAAGAGAGGATCTGTGTAAAACTCAGACTTTTCCTTCACCCTTCTAGACAAGAGTAGACTTAATTACGTTGCAGTTACCCACCAGCCTTACTGGGTATCTCAACTTGAGCACTGAAGTCCGGGAGGTGGAAGGTCTCTAGGAGCATCTCTTGTCACTGGAAGGTGCACACTGATCTAGATGCTATTACACTGGGCTCAGTGTTATGCCTTAGTTATGCTGAAATATCAGATAGCCTCTAACTTCTATCGTTATTCTGGTGAAGTAGGTCACCTGCGAAATAAAGAGAGGAGTGTACGGAGAGAACAGCCCTTTGGTAATGGCCAAGGCAAATTGATCGTTTCCTGCCCTCTGCTGGCAACTGGTGACAGAGCTGCAGCACCTCGGGAGAGCCATTTGCTGGGAATGGTTTTACACTTTAAATGGAAGCAATTAACTGATATAGCTAGAACTAATGAAGTCACTTTGAAGCAATTACAGTGAAGAAAATTTGGATGGTTTAATTTAAAAGCAACTATCCTAAAACTTAAGAAAATGTTGCACTTGTCAAAACTTGGAATTAAGACAGCTTTGTTCTCTCTCAAAATATGGATTAGCTTCCTTATTTTGGAACCAGTATAAGAAATTTTTGTCGTAGCAACCAATTTTCATATTCATTATCAATATATTGACTTTTCTGTGTCAGTCATTTCACAGTTTGAATTTCTTCACTTAAAGTAATATGCTTAGAAAACTTATCTGTCTCCTTACAGACTTGCCTTGCAATTATTTTAGATAATTTCCTATTTTAATCAGACCAATATTAAACTCCAATCCCCTTTCCACAAGTACTAGCAGCCCCATCCTATCTTGATGTAATCTGCAAATTTGTGCAAGTGTAAACTTTATTTTTTTATGCTCTCTTAAATACAGAACCACCAGGAAGTACCAGAAGTACAATGCAGATGTTATCAATCACAACAGAGCCCTGAAGTTCTGTCAGGCTGCAAACCCAGTGGCTGCTTTCCCTGATAGCTGAGGAGCCATGCACAGGCAGGGGGAACCCAGAACACACCTTTAGGCAGCTCACAGCCTCTCAGAAGTTATTTTTCCATCACTTCCAGCCTGTCCCGTTCCCCATACCAACAGGGCTTTTCACCAGGTCTCACTCCACTGCTCAAGAGGACAGCAAACTCACTCTGCCAGTTCACAGCCCTGCTCTGTGCCTCAGTTCCCTTCACAAAGCCAACAGGTGGCCCTGAGCTGCTTGACTTTTGGGGCTACTAAAACTACAGCCAGACTGGCCAGCTTGACAGCAGCCACTGTGCCAGACAGGGAGGGGATGTCCCTGCCTGCCCCACTCCCTCGCATCCCCCGTCAGGATGGCTGCACTGAGTACGATTGTCCCACCAGGCTTGGGGGAGCACCCCGTCCCTGGGCAGGGCTGTCACAGCCACCAGCCAAAGCTCAGAGCTCCCACATCTCACCCATAAGAGATGATGAGCATGAGATGGGGCTCCAGCATGTCCTTCTTGCAGACACACCCCCACCACTCCTGTTCCCCCCAGCGTGACACAGAGGCAGCTGTGTGGCAGTCACTGGTAAGTAATCATTACCACAGAGCCTGGTTTATACACAACCTGCATCACCTTTGACTCCCAGCATCGCTCGGGTGCCTGAGAGCTAGACCCCAGCCCCAGCCTGCTCCTGACTCACCAGCTGAATGCAAGCAAACACCTCCAGCTTTCCCTGCCTTGGTTTCATCGTGAAGAAGATGTTATTTTTAACTCAACCACACCAAGAGACACTTGCTTATTTAAAACATTAAAGCACCTACAGGCTGTTTCTACAACCTAATCTAAAAGCTGCCATAAAAGGACCAAAAGGAGTAGTCATTATCTGCCACTCAGGAGCTTAACCTTTGGAAAGACAGACCAGAGCTCTGAGCTGTGCTTGTTAAACTCCCTTTGCCTTTTCCCAGTGACTCTGCAGGCTGTAGGTGAGGTTACCCACCCCAGAGAGGGGGTTTCCACCCATGGGGCTGTGTTTCGAGGTCAGTGACACAGGCTGCAGCTGAAGGCTACCTACCCCTCAGGAACAGAGCCACAAGAGACGGCACAGCCAGAGCACAGACACCAGAGGGGAGTGTGCACTGTCAGCTTCATGCAGCCACTGATTTTGGGGGTACAAAGGGTCTGGATGCGAGCAGTTGTTGGCCATCATGTGGAGTAGTGGTGCAGGCTGAGGGCAGCTCTGGTTTGAGCCTATGGGAATCTTCATCAGAGTCCCACTCTAAATTTGAATAGGAGTTGGGTGAGCTCATGTGGACCTGCCAGAGCATGGGGCTGCTGGGGAGGGTGGTCCTGCCAGCAGGGAGGCCAACAGCAGCACAGCAGCCAAGAGCCACCAGCTGGGAGGGTTTTATACATTCAATTAACCACCACAGCCAGGAGTCATGAAAACACTCTGAAGCAATTAAGCTGGAGGAATGCTGTGGGGAAAGGAGGGCGCTTATTTAAAAAGTAACTGCACTAAAATGTACAACTTTAGAAGGCACCTGCTACGCCTGTCAAAACTTGGAGCTGAGACTTTGTTTTCCCTCAAACTACACGTTAACCTCCATAGTTTGGAACCACTGGAAGAAATTTCTACCATTATATCAATGATTGATTTTCACATTCATTTATAATTTTGCTGACTTGCCTTCACAGTCACCTTATTCCCCATTTTTCCTCTCCCAGGACGCATGGCTTCCCTGCCACCTTGAAGGGTAGTGGTGTACCCTCAGCCCCCAGAGCAATCACCTGTTTAGGTGGGGCACAGCTCACTGTGGGCCCTGGGAACATTTGGGTTGATGCATCCCAGCCACAGGGCACCCCTAGTTTTCTGAGTTTCTGTCCATGGCAAACCAAAACCCAAGCAGAACAGCAGAGCACATCCCCGTGGTCCCAGAGCGGCTCTGAGGGGAGCACAGGAAGCACCAGTCACCTCGTGTGAGGTAAAGCTGTCCTTGCAGAAACAGAGCACAAAGCCAGTGTTAACAGAAATCAAACTCAAAGGACAGATTTCCCCCAAAGGTTCACATTTGTACACCACCTAACCACTGCTACACTTAGCTGAGCCTGCTGTTCAGACAGGAACAGAGCAAAGTTGCAGAAAAACATTCGTTCTCAGTTTCATTTATGTGAAAAATCACACTTTACTGGTCCTGACTGCTGTGAAACATGGCCCTAGAGACTGCTCCTGGGATCTGGAGCACACGGGAAGGGACAGCCTTGGGGTGAGGCCATTTAATAAACAAAGACAGAGGCTCCAATCACACACCAGTGCCATTACACAGCCACCTGCAGGATGCTGCCTTGCATTTGCAGGTTGTTAACAGAGTTGCAGTGAGCAGACCACATACCCCAAGGCCCTACTGGTGTCAAGGGTGGTGAAAACACAGAAATCCCAGGAGTTATTCCCCTATACAATTAAATTAGCACCAGTGATTTTATGACACTGATGGATGTGAAATCAGAGGAGATTTGGGCAGAAAATAATTCCAGAATGGGCCAACTGCCTTTTAGAAGTGTCTTGTAGTTATAATTGGCCTCTGCCAGCTTGGCTTTGGGAAGGAGTCTTCCTCCTTGAGAAAGGATTCTTGCTGTAAGGTTTCTGGCTCAGGTTGGGCTTATGGTAACTGTATATTGCTTACAGACAGATCAATGGAGCCCATATGCCTGCATTTGCCTCAGCATCTTTAGCCTCAAGAGGTCGATGCACTTGGAATACAATGGCTATCTGAAAATGTTATGGTTCAAGGGTTACCAGCCTGAAAAGGAAGGACTGGTGGTGTCTGTAGGACCTTGGGAGGGTCAGAGATCAGTACTGTTCCCTCCCCTTTCTGGCCACAGTCTATAAAAAACCAGGGAGGCCTGAGGTTTTAAGCAGACTTTTCCTGGCATCCTGGGCTGTTTCCTGTCACATCTTGGGATGGCCAGGTCTACCTCCACGTGCTCGGCAGCATCCACCACCATCTGCTTCCCAGCACCACTGAGGTCCCTGGTGACAAGTCACAGCGCTTGCAGTGGCCACGAGGCACTGCTTGGACACTTCCACTTGGGACTACTGGGATTGGGTTTTGTATATAGTTAAATATCCTTTGTCCCTTATTAATTCCCTTTTCCTTTCCCCTTTTTTTCATTAAACTTGTTGCAGTCTTAACTTCCAACCCTGTGCGAAGCATTTTTTTTTTCTCCTCTCTATTCACTTTTCTTAATCCTCCCCCTGGGAAGGTAGGGGACAATAGAGAGAAAATCCTACGCGCTTGCTCTCTCTGACCCTTAAACAGAGACACCACCACTGGTAAAAAGCACAAGTGCTCTCACTCAGCCAGCACCAAGCAGGAAATGCAGTGACCACAGCACCCCTGCCCAGGCACCAAAACCAAACCAAGGCAGCCCCAGCTTATTCCTTGCACCAGGACCAGGCTCTCACTTAGCAACAGCATGACACCATGCTACAGCCCCCAACCTCATCTCCCCATCCAGCTCAGAACTGGGAATCAGGCTGCAGCAGCACCAAAAGCAAAAAAAAATAAAAAAATAGGCTCTTACAATCAGCAACCACCTCCCAAACCCTGCTTTACCACAGTAGCCAGCACAACCCCTACCTCAGCCTCAAGGGATAAAGCCACCATCCTCCTTATAGCGACCTCACATCACCAAAAAGAATCAAAAGTGGGGGGGAAAAGCTTTTGTCTGGTAACAGGTAACTGGTGGCAGCTGAGGGCACCATTCCCACCTGGGGACACTGATTAAATTGCCACCAGCTGTGCTGTGCCCCAAGGTGGTGTTCAACCTGGCAGTAGGAGTATCTGGGCTATGGCAGCCCAGGGTCATGCCAGGGTAGGGCCTGGTCCTGCTCTTTGGCCTGACCACAGCACATGGAGTTCATTAAATTAATTGGGATTTTACTCAATGGCTGCGCTGCCACTGCCTGTGCTCCCTAGCAGCAGGAGGGGCTCTGTGAGGGCAGGTGAAAGCACACTCGGTGGTATTTGCTCTGTGTTGTGTGTTCTCATACCAAATAAAGATGAAGGTGCTGATTTGGGGTTTTCCTGGAGTAATAAAGGACCTGGAGGATTTGCAGATTTCTTTGTGTGTGTGTGTCTCCTTTAGGTGATTTCTGGACCACCATATTTTTTAACTAGCAGAGGATAAAGTGGCTGGCCAGGGGGGGCTGGTAAGCAAAGCAGTGACCCAATGCTGCATCAGCAGCTTGACCATGCTGTGTCCCTGAGCCCATCACAGCCCGAAGACCCGTCCTGGCCATTGTCACGTCCTTGGCCCCCAACCATCCCAGAGCCCCCAGGAGACAACATGCGCTTCGTGTTCTCTGGTGGGCAATCAGCCCTTGGCCACCTTTCTGGAGGCTTGTCTGCTCCCAGGGCAGCAATGGGCAGTGGATACATCCAGAGCTTGGCCAAGGTGGTGGTCTCATCATCACCGACCACACCATCGCTGCTTCACCCTGGCTACAGGAAGGCTGAGCTGCCAGGAAAGAAAAGCCTGGCTTGTCCTGATTCCCCATGCCCTGCCTGCCATCACCCACCTGCAGCACCCAGCCTGCCCATGCTCCCACCCAGGCTGCACAGAGCAGCGATATTCACACTTATCCCAGAGTACAACCACTAACACATAAGTGAACCAAGTTGAATGCCAGCTTTGCATGAGTGAATTTACTTTTACAATGTACAATACCTGGAACACAATGAGAAGTCAGCAGAGACACCGCGTGCTTGGGATCCCCTCATGTGCTGGGATGCCTAGGACAGGGCACAGGGAGTGGCGCCCCAAACTGTGGGGTGGGAAGGGCACTCCTAGAAATCTGCACCCACGTTGAAAACTTTGTCCTCTCTCTTCACTAGCTGCCCTGGTTTTTACTTGTTTGCAGCATTTTGCAAATATTGCACATCTTTGGGTTGGGATTTTTGCATAGCAGGAGGAGGAAGCGAAGACAGGAGTGCTGCTCTCTGTGGGGCCGCTCAGTTATTGCTTGACCAATGCATAAACCCTGCCTTGCCCTGCCCGTCTGCACCCGCAGGTACCACACATGGGCAAAATCACCCTGGGGGGATGCGGGCGCACACCAGAGGTGTCTGTGACCCCTTCGTGTCACTGGGAAACTGCTAGGTAAAGCAGCAGAGTGAAAACAACCAAGGGATGAAAGCAAGTGCCACGACTGCCATGCTGTCGGGCACTGATCAGAGCTGTGCCGCAGCAGCTGGTAACAGTGGCACAGAGGGAAAGCAGCGGCAGGATTGCCCCAGCACCCTTCGCTGGGTGCCTCTGCATGCAGCAGCTGCTTTTTTCTCTGCAGAGCTCACACTGGCCCCAGTGCCACCTACACTGAAATTGGACTATAACATCGAGGCCAAAAACCTCAGTATTTTTAATGCCTGGGTTCAAAAAAAAAGTTCGTAGCTTAAATGCCTGGTGGTGGGCATCTGCCGCCTGCCCCCAGGGAGCACACCCGCCTCCGGGATTTCTACACACCCTACGGCCAGCGGCTCTTCTATGGAGTGCTCTGTGTCAGCAAACAGGAGGCTGCTGTGTCTGCACCAGAAAAAGGCACTGAGACATTCTGGTTCTGGGAGCAACCACTAAAAATAGCAATATCTGGATCTGGAGAGTGGGGGGGAGCGCAGGTTGGCTTACAGGCAGAGCTGGCAGGAAGGGCACAGGCAGCGATGGCATTGGAGGCAGCGACTGTTTCCCAGCTCTTGGTGCAGAAAAGGGTTCATTATTCCTATTTATTGCGTCTGCAATTCAATGCTGCAGCTCTGGCAATGGGCTGTGGTGTGGTTTTCTTCATTAACCAGAGACAACCTAAAACACTCCCACGAGGGAGGCATCCTTCCCACTTCTGCTGCTGACACCTTGAATGCATCTTTTCATGTCTAGGGGCACAACCAACCTCTCCAAATGCTGGCTACCAGCCCACGGGAGGCAGTTGCCCAGGCAGCTGCACCCTGGTGCCACAGTGCAGCTGGCAGGGGCTGCCCCCTCCTCCCAGCTGCTGGGAGACACCTCATGGCCACAGCTCCCTCTCCAGGATGGTGCTTGGCCATGGATTTCCCATTCCCTGCCTGGAGAGCATAACCTGGGACTGCTTTCACTCACACCGGAATTATTTTAACCCCAAATCCTGACTTTAAAGACAAGCTCCCATTTCGATCTATAGGATGGCAGTGGGTTCATGTTCGAATTGAGGGAGCGGGGTAACCCTTCCTATGCAGAGGGCAGCATCTTGAGAGGTATATAAAGATGGTCCATAATCCCAAGTGAGGTAGCTGAGCAGTGCAGTCCCACTCCCAGATGGAAGAGGATGTGGTCAGCGGGGGCTGCAGGAGCTGATGCTGGAGGTAGGACCCCCTTGGGGTTTCCTGACCCCAGCCTACCTGGTCAGGAACAGTTTCTTAAGACAACCAAGGTCCTACTTGGTCATCAGAGCACCAGGATGGAAAAACAAAGGCCAAGTGCCCCAGGAGCAAGCCGCAGGAAAAATCACACCCTGGACTTGCACCCTGGGCAGATTTCAGGCACCAGGGGTCTTTTTTTTCTTTTCGCAAGTGCAAAGATTAGGCTTAGAGTTGGTAGAGCCAAATCAGAGTGGGAGGCAAGGCTGGTCTTAAATTTTTGTCACGTCATCTGCAGAACATGCTGGGGACCCACTTGCCACAGAGGTGAGGGAAAAGTTGCGCTTGGGTTTTTCTTCCAGAGCACTGGTGGGACACAGCTGGGCACAGCGAAGGTCTTTCATGATATCTGATGGCAGTGCTTCCCCCACCATGTTCACAGTACCCAGGCCAGACCTTTTGCGAGTGACAAGCACCATCACTTGCACCGACCGCTTCAGCCCTGGCTGGCAGGCAGCTCCATCGGCCAGGATAGCCAGGGAGGCATGGCGGGGCAAGCGGCCAGGCACCAAGGAGGGGTTGTAACACTTGGGGTAGTTACTGAAACACTCAAAGGTGTCTTTGCAGTTCCTGCAAGCCCCAGGGTGGTCACCAAAACCAGAGGATGGGAAAGGCTGGAGTGCCTCGCTTGGGCAGCCACAACACAGGAAAGTGCGGATGGCCTGGAGGAGCACCATGTCTTTGGAGAGGAACTTGTGGAAGTTGGGCTTGAAAAGCAGGTACACCAGGGGGTTGTAGAGTGTTGAGGACTTGGCAAAGACTGCTGACAGCACGAAGGCCAGTGCTGGCACCTGGCTGGCATCGCCGAGCACTGCCCACAGGGCAACAATGGCGTAAGGGGTCCAGGCAGCCAGAAACCCCAGGCACACAGCAACACTCAGCTGGAAGAGAAAGAGATGGAGACAGCGGTGCTGTGAGCCTCCTGCGGCACGTGCAGGATGTCAACCCTGCCCAAAACTCAGCCATGTGCAATAGGACCCCGAGCTGTCACCGGGGGAAGGTGCTCAACCTCCTGGATTTGTTGCACTGGAGCAGCAGGGTGTCAGACATCAGGCAGCAACTCAGCACGTCCCAGCCTGGGCACATAAACCCACACCTGGTCCAGGCGACTCACACTCCATCCCACCTGGGAAACTCAAGAATTGCCTCCACCTGCAAAGCACCCAGTGGCCCGGCTGAGACCAGGCCAGCATCGGACTCCAGCAGCCCTTTGGCAGCACTCAAAATCCCTCCCACAACCTGTGTGCTGGCATGTAACCAACCAGGGGCTCTGGGAACAGGCCAGGTTCAGACCCCCTTCCTCTGAGCAGACATGAATGTTTCCTTCCAGGCCAGGCTTGCAAGCTGTTTTCTTTCAAGTTTGTTTTTTTTTAAAGGGTGTCCACGTTTGGTTTTTTTTGCATATCTTTAGTAAATTATAGTATTAGCTTGTAGTCTGGGGAACAATGACTCCTGCAAGCGCCTTTTATGATCCTTTCCAATGCAATTTAAAATGAAAACTCCTCCAACTGATGGCTTTAAATGAGGAGAAATGTGTTATTGCCCACACAGATACAAACAGCTGGAGAATTCACTGGGAGCAGCAGACAGCCTGGCAGAAGGGTCTCGCTGCATTTGCCTGCCTGTGAGGTGGTGGGCTGGGGCAGGGGGCACCCCGAGACCCCACAGCACCCAGAGTCCTTTCTTACCTTCACAACTAGGCTGTGCACACTGCGGGCTCTGCGCCGGGGGGACGTGTGCTGCCTGATGGCTCTCCGGGACACCAGCACCGTCCAGAGGATCAGTGAGTAGGAGATGAGGATGAGGAGGCAGGGGAGAAGGTAGCAGAAGATGAAGAGAGTGAGGATGTAGAGCGTGGTCTTCCTGCTTGAGGCTTTCCAGCTGATGCAGCAGGCTGTCCCATAGGGCTCGGGGCCATAGCTGCCCCACTCGGCCAAGGGGGCAGTGGCAAACATCAAGGCGTACACCCAGACACACAGCAGCAGCACTCCAGCGTGGCAAGGAGAGAACTTGTTGCCTGTGGCAGAGGGATCGGGGTGAGGAGGGCTTCTCGTGGGTGAAGGGGAGCAGAGAGAGGGGCTGTGACCCTGAGCTGCCTGCACCTCCATCACTGGGGACAAGGCCAGCCTCAGGGCAGGAGCTACTGTGCTCAGCATGGAGTGGGCAGAGCCATGCCAACGCTCAACCAGGGTCCTGGTACACAGAAGCATCCTTCTGTCCCCTTCGGTGGGCAGCCAGAGTAAGGAGCCAAGAGAAATGTAAGGGTTTGCCCCAATCCAGCCTCTCTCAGCTTTGGGAGGAGTCGCTGGGAGGTCACATGGCTGCTGGTGACACAGGGGGGATGCTGCACCCATGGCCCTATGAGCAGCCAGGAGGGAGGAGATTGCCTGGCTGCAGCACAGGGCAGGGAGAGCTGGCTCCAGCTCTGCTCAAAGCCATCCCAGACACTGCCATTTGACGGACCTTTTCATCTCTGGCAAACTGAAGCACAGAGGGAGGTGGGTTTTTTTCCTTTTTGTCCCATCCCCCATCAAATCTGAAACCCCCTGATCTTCTAAGAGCTCCGTATAAAGTGCTAAAACCTCAGTCATACACTGGAGTAACATCTTTCTTTGAAAATAAGCAATTAAAAGCACATTGAGATTAGCTATTTCCTCTCAGAAAAGGCTGGGGTGTCACAGGGAGATAAGCTCAGAATGCCAGGCTGCCAAGCACTGGCTCTTCTGGAGAGCAGAACCTGCATGGGTAAAAGCCACCTGCACCTGCGCTGACTTTTAACAGCCACCTTTTATCTTTATCTTTCCTTCCACCTTTCTAGTGATCTCCTGAGCCGTTGTGCTGGCATGTAACCAAGGTGACTCTGCTCCAGCATCGTCCTTGGGGCACCATCACCTGGTGGGGACAACACACGTTGGTGGCTGGCAACAGCCGCAGGCTTGGGGCAGATGGGCAGTGAGCCACAGGAGAGGGGCTGAGGATGCTCCCTGGGGTGCTGGACCGCAAATCAAAGCAATATCTTTGTTTTCCTATTTTATTTCTATTTTCAGTCTTTAATCCACAGTCTGGTCTATAGATACATGCTAGATGGAGGATTAGCAGCTGAGCTGAATAAATTAAGAAGAAACTCCAAATAAGAAGAACTGTAAATGCATAGGGGACATCCCTTGTCCTCTCACTTCCTCAGGTGCTCTCTGCAACCCATGCCCTCTAGAAAGAGCTGGTGCCCAGCTCAGAGCAGCAAACATTCACATTAGCTCTGCAGAGGAAGTCCAGCTGAAAATAGGGCTACAGAAGTGAGTTACACACTGCAAACCCAGCCCTCCTGTTTTAATTATTGCAGTGAATTAAATACATTTGACCTACAGCTCTTCCACCAGGGACAAGGGAAAGTGGCTCTTCCTTGTACTGCCAGAGATTGTGGCTTCCCAGACATGGATTCTGCTCTGGCCCAAGCTCAAGTCTGTGTGTGGACATTTGAAACCCTGTGACATACTGTAATACAGCAGCTGGGACCTTTCTACAGAGGGATGACAAATCCCTTGACACTTTCCTGGATTATGCTCCTGAGCCCTAGAGAGAAGTAGGTTCTGGAGGCAGGGATGGCTGAGATGCACACACAGGTCATGGGCACAGGGTGCCTGGGCCCCCCAGCTCCATGCAAGCGGAGAAGGGTGAATACAGAAGTAATAAAAGCCTCCAGAGTCTGCTGCATCCCTCTATTGACTGGAAATAGGTTGCCCTGGGGCAAAGCTTTTCCCAGAAGAGATTAATCTGGCCCGTAAGAGAAGAAAAAGGGTTATGTTAACAGAGAGGGGTGTAAGTACAGATCAGATAACGCAACCCAGCACCTACCATATGCTGGGTAACAGACCTTCAGGCAGCAAACCATGCTAAGCACCGTCAGGCTGGTGAGGCTGCACAGCCCAAACAAGACCCCACAAAAGGCGTAGAGGGTGCACACCGCCTGGTTGAATAGCCACCTGCAGGGGAAAGTCACAGGGTAAACCAAGTCCAAGAAAACGTGGGCAAAATCTTGTCCCTAATTTGTTTCCTGAGCATTCCAGCAACCAGCACAGATGGAGCCACAGGTGCAGGAGCGGCCCTGATCCATGCCGGCACACGCCGCCATGGTGTCTGCACCACACAGGTGCCATCTTAGAAACCCATCACCAAACCCATCTTACAGCACAAGGTTGTGTGATAAACTGGAGGGACAGCGAACAGTAACCCACCCTGCTGCGGGACAGACATCTGTGAGGTTACATGGTGCCCCAGTGCCTCCAGACTGACTCCTTGGGTGCCCCAGCAACCCCTGTCAGGGGTCTCCCCATTTCAGGACAAGGTTTGCAAACTGCACCCAGGGCCATCAGTCAGTGCAGAGCCACTTCCACAAGGTACCTGTGTGCAAAGAAGGAGGAGGTGGCCAAGGGGAAGAGTGTCACTGTCATGCTTAGGTCACTGACGGCCAGGTTGACAATGAAGAACTCGGCAGGCTTCAGCATGGATCTCTTCCGAAGTGAGTTCCCAGCAAGGGACATGATACCTGTGGAGAAGGCAGAGGAACGGTGCTGTATGTAACAGAGCCAGGATCCTCTTGAGATGTTTGGAAGCAAACACCGGAGATGTCTACAGAGGGTGGAAAGGGCTCCAGGCTTCTCTCTCTGGAGCAGGCTGAGCAGGGGAGCACATGGGACCTGCAGAGCTCTGCAGGCACAGCTGGAGCTGCTTTTTTATTTGATCCCTTTCCCCTCCTGAGACCCTACAGAGGCGTTTGGTAGGAGGGTAGTGATGGGATGAGACTGCAATGGACTCTGTGTGCAAGATCTGGTCAGAGTCACTTCTTCCAGCTGGAAGGAGCAAGGGGGAAACTTCCTTCCAGCTACATAAATAACAGGCGCTTTGTGCAATTGCTTTTCTGATGTGAGGCCAAGGAGCTGGGCCCCTTCACCTTTTTAATTTCTTCCTGGCGCTGCCGCTCGTGTGAGTCTGTGTTGTCCAATATCTTGGTAACAAAATAAACAAGAAGAAAGGCATTATGGAGATCAAGGAAAATCCAGACTAAACAAAAGAAGGCTCTTTGTTTGCTATTAGTGTATTTAAAACAACAGTGGTGATTAAAATTTTATAACAAGATGTTTCTCTCTTTTTAAATTACGTAATTCTTCTTTCATTGAAAAAAGGTTTCAATGTCCTCAGAAGGGAAGTCCTTGCTGTTCTTGGGCCAGGTTGGGTAGGACAAGAGTTTCTTCCTAATGGATTAGGCTGTAAATTTAATATATCATGGTAAGGACCGGCTTCCAAAGCCACTGAACAGCCAACACTAAAGTTCCTCTCAGGAACAGGATTCCCACACAAGACCTGGCCAAAACCAAGGCTTAGGAGCCATTGGAGGGCTGAGTACTGAGATGTTTGCCCTTGTTCCCAGCCTTACAAAGCATTTTTTCCCACAGAGCTGGTCTCACATCTGTACTGAGTACATTTTATCAGCTTTACTTTACTAACTCCTAGGAGCTGTAGATGCCTATAGGACCACTGGCAATCCCATTGGCAAGAAGGGTCATCTCCCTTAGGTTCCACATGCTTGCAGGCATGAAAAATTTCTAAAAGGAATTCTAGAAGGAGAGAGGGATGCAGTCACCAAGCTTTGGCCAGATCATGCTTTTGAGTAATGTGAGGAGAGTCAGTTTGATAATTTTACTGATGACTGAACACTACTGGAAGCATCAGAGACTGCAAAAGGCCTGAATGTCTCTGGCAGGCAGGCACCTGGGCTGCCTGCAGCAGGGACACAGGTATAACAGCCCGTCTTTCCTTACCAAAGACTAAATAGAGCGTGCCAAAAATCAGGTCTTCTCTCTCCGATAAGGTGGAGATGAACACCAAGGCATTGGATGTATTTCCCATCTGCAAAGGAAGAAACAAATAAAAGTGAGAGTGAATTTTGGCTAATGAAGGAGTGCTGGGCTTCCTTGGCTCCCAGGGGAGCTCTGTGACATGCTCCTGGCATGGATCTGTGACCAAGCCCCTTGGTCCCACCACTGCAGGAGGTGGCTTCATTACTGCTGTGTGCGGCACTGACCTAGTGGCTGGGCAGGGGGTGATAATGAGATCAGGTTGGCAATCTCACTTGATTACTATTTCTGCAATTACAGATTTTACTGATTAGCATTAGTCTTTGGAGCTAAATTTTCTTGGCAAGTCTTGGCCATGTGCTGATTGCAGCAGGCGCTGTGTGTTTGAACACAGGGACTGGCTGCTCAGAGATGGAGGCTTCATGTTCTGCGAAGTCCCCCCCCACCTCCAGGCTTGCCCCATCCTTCACATCCCTCCGCCTGTCCCTGTGTCCACATCAGCAAAGACTTGGCCCAAACTGCCCAAATTGTCACAGAATGTGACAACTGTCACCCTGATCATCACTGCTCCTGGCTGGGACCTTCCTTCTTCAGCTATAACTAAATTTGATCCGCGCTGCCAGCATTGCAGACAGTGAAGAACTTGAGGATGAACACATGTATTATAAAAAAACCCCAAGTATTAAAAAGTCATTCCCTTTCTTGGGGTGCCCGACTCAATTATTGAGTTTTATCAGCCTAATTAGTTTCCCTGTTATTTCATGCAGCTGAGCCAAAGGTTCCTGACTGCTCAGGAAGTTAATAGGGGGTAGCAGAGCAGAACAGCAGACATGTTTTAGTATATTCAGTCCTTTCACTGATAACAAATAAATGGAAAAATATTTTGTTCATGTGAAGACAAAAAAGAGAGGGGATGAGAGAAAATAATGGTTTAATTATATGTTTCAATAGCTGTTAGCTTGCTTGCTGGGATGTTTAATCCTTCCCCAAGGTCCCTGCATGCTGCGGGAATACTGACCACAGGATCTGGATGGGCTTGGGGAGAGGAAGGCAGCTGAGGCCATCACAGCACAGTTTAACCCTCACAAGTGGCAATGGGTTGCTTGTTCCTGCGTCATAGCCCAGTGTCCATAGGGCCATGCTGCAAGCTGAAGCAGGGATCAGGTGGGGCTTTATGTGGAGGAGGTGAATAGAGCCAATATCCTCAGCACAGTCCCCTGACTCCTAACTGCCATGTTTCCATCCAGCCCAAGACGGCTCGGGAGCTATCCATGGGCCATGAGCTGCGGGAGACAGAGCCTTTCTTTCCACAAGTGCTTCTGGCATGGACTTCATGATCAGAGCAACCACACTTGTTATCTGGTCCCAGGTGAAAATGCCTGTCTCACATCCAGGGCTGCATTCAGGAAGATGGAGCTAATTACTTTAAGTAACAAGTAAATTAGCTTGGAGTATAAATGTATTTTAAGACACTAGTTGGTGTTAAACTGCCAAGAGATCCTGCCAATAGTTCTTCATTCTCTGTGTTACTGGTCCTCACAGCCAAATACCAACGGACCACTCTGGCTGCAGGGAGTGCCAGAGCCTGCTGCTGCTGGGGGAGGAAGGCCAGAATTCCACCTGCATGAGGTGTGAGCAGGTACAGGATCTGCTCAGCATGGTGGTGAAACTTAAGGAGGAGGTCGAGACACTGAGGTCCATCAGAGAGTGTGAGAAGGAGATCGACTGGTGGAGTAACTCCCTGTTGTGCCAGTCGGAAAGGCTCCAGGGGGATACCCCCCAAAAGGGGATGGACCCCCTGCCCTGTCGGGTGGAGGGGGAAGACCCGAGACAGCCCCTGCCCTGTCGCTGTTGGGCAGGGGTAGGGGACCAAAAAGACGATGAGGGTTGGAAGCGAGTTCCAGCTTGGCGTCATGGGCAACCCCCCTGCCTACCCGCTTCGCTTCCCCAGGTGCCCCTCCATAATAGGTTTGAGGCCCTGGATCTTGAAGAAGAGGTAAGTGAGGATGTGGTGCAAGGTCCGCCTACAGGGTCATGCAGGAAGAGGCAGCCGACTCCACACCTCAGGACTGCCTCTGATAAGAAGGAAAGAAGGGTAATTGTAGTGGGCAATTCCCTTCTGAGAGGGACAGAGGGCCCAATATGCAGAGCTGACCCTCATCATAGGGAAGTCTGTAGTATAACCAGAGCCCGGATCAGGGATATCACCAGGG